CTCCTACCCAGCCCCCCACACACCCACCCCTACCACCCCCCCCCAAAAAAATAAAATAATTTAAGATTGTTTTTAAAAAATATTTTCAATTTCAAAAATTATTTTCTACTCTAATAAAAATAAAATATATTTCTCAAAAATATTTTTCATTCATAAATCAAACACTAAAAAACTTTTCCGGAAAATATTTTCTAATCACCAACCAAACATGAAAAAATAAGTCAAAAATCAACTTGTTTTCTAGGAAAACATTTTCCATTGAAAACATTTTCCTTCATACCAAACACACCCTAAAGGTGGTGCAACTGTACGAGTTAAAAATTAACCTACAATTGGCTACCTTGAATCTTGTATAGTACTAGATGCCGGGGCATTTTAGTTGCAATAAATAATGGAATGATTGTTTGTCATCATCAAAATGGGGGGAAAATGCTATGTTGATGTTTTGATGATTTGACAAACTTCGGGGATGATGAAACTCCAGTTACCTGAAGAGTTCTTGTTGATAGGGGGAACTGGTGAATAAGTATGTTATCATCAAAAAGGGGGAAAATGTTTAGTTCGAAGCTGATATGAGATATTTAGTTCGAAGTTGATATGAAGTTTTGATGATTTAACAAACTTATCGATCTAACAAGGAATTAAATCCTTGTTATTGGGACTGATGACAGTGAAATGAATGAATAAACTCAGTGTGAGGAATATTTGTGTGTAATCATCAAAAAGGGGGAAAATATTATGTTCTTTGATGTTTTGATGATCTCCTCACAAGTGCAGGGACTTGGTCCTCTGCAAAGTATAAATACTCGTCCAGTGGTCAAAGTGTTGTACAGCTGGAAAGCTGTCTGCGTTAGAAGGTTGGTGAAGCTGCAGAGTACTCCACCAATCAGAAGCGACGAGGTTGCTTGTTCATTGGATAATAACTTTTCATGTCTAAATATATCCAAGGAAAAACAAAAACTAATTCATTCATTCAAAAGGAGAGAGCCAGCACGTATTCTCAAGAACTTACTAAGAGAAGTGTGCAAGGGACCTGGTCCCTGCAAGACTGCGATGTGAAAGGACGACACGATAGCTGTCAGAAAAGCTGCCACTTCTGATGTGGTAGGTGCACGTCCTTCCAGAGAGGCAAACTCTCAGCCAATGGGTGGTCCCTAGGAGTTTGTGTTCATTTTAATATAGTCTCTTCTAACAAAACATAAACTCAAGATTTGGGAAACAAAACTTGGGTTTTCTCTGAAAATTCACAAGCTTGAAAAGAGAAGGCCATCTTCAAGGAAGAACACTGCTCATATCAACAAGGGACCAGATGGAGTATTGAAGCGTCTTGTTGTACTTAGAGTTGTGTATCTTATGTGCTTAAATTGTAAATCTATTCCTATGTTATAAAGGAATTAGATTTTTTGTTCGGTTTCTAAAAGCCTAAATCAGTTGAGTTTAACTGGTTTAGTGGGCAGCATTGTTTTGCTGGTTAGTCAAATTCTAAGTCATCTAGGAGCTAGTTGATTTAGTGGGCGGTGTTGTATTCGCTTAGAAAAGTCTAAGTTATCTAGGGGTGATAGCTTAGTGGGCAGTGTTGTATCTGCTCTGGCTCAGCTAAGTGATAGGAGGTATTGCTTAGTGTGGAGATTAGCAAGCTAATCTCATTTTGTAAAAAGTCCTGGCAGGCCAGGTCGTGGTTTTACTCCCTTGAGCAAGGAGGTTTCCACGTAAAGTTGCTTGTTCAATCTTTACTTTCAGCACTTATTTTACTGTTTGTTATTGTAACTGTGCTGAGGACCTGGTCCCATCGAAACAAGTGGACGCATATTTTTAGTTACTGTTCTTGCTGAGTTAAAGGACCTGGTCCTTGACTGATAGGTGGACGCATACAGTCCAACACCACCAACTCTTCATATTTTATGAAAAATAATATGGATTGATAATTAAATACTCAATCACTTATTTAATTTATAAATGAAACAAATAAACAATCTAACTATTTGGCCATTTTTGATAAATGCATTTTGCTTCACTAAAATAAGAATTACATAATCTTTCGGCGGGCTAAAGCGCAGTGGCTGTAACTTACTATAATTAAGAACATATAATTATAGGACAATGAAAATAAATCAATAAATCATCTTACTGTTATATTCAATTAATTATTTTGTTACACCCACTTTTCAAAGAATTGCTAGTCTATATTTAAATATTTTTTAAGGCAAGTCCTTGTTTGTATTTTGGACTCAATCGTGGTGGACTTGTTGACTTCCTTTTTTGAGTTCAATTGTTAATTTTTTTTAATATCAAACTTATTATATTCTTAAAATTATAAATTCGGACTTACTATTTATTGTAATTCCCACAATAAAGTATTACTACTAGTTTATATGTATTGCATCAATCTCTGTAGCTTATTATTCTTTTCGTTTATTTTTACTTGCTCATTATGGACCTTATACTCCCTTAAAATAATAAATAAAGTGTGTATAAATATATATATTATAATATTTATATTAATTGATATATAATCACAATAGATTTGAGAAATAATTTGAAAAATACAAGTAGTTAATATTAAGAACAAAATAATACTATACTTATCCCAATTTATGCAGTATACTCTTTTTAATCGGTTTTAAGAAAAATAACACAACCCTATATTTTGTCTTGGGACGAGAGTAATTTGTTTTACTCCATCTGTCCATTTCACGACCCAATTCCTCGAGCCGTGATGACACCTACTATATCCCACCAGTAGGTAAGCCAACCAAGAACCTGGAAGCCACAAGTACAGAGCCATACTAAGAGTACAAGTCCTAGAAGTGGACCAACATACAAAAATATACGCAACTACAAAGGACCTGTCATAAGTACAAAAAACGAGCCACAAAATATATGTACAGAAGGAGGCGGCAATGATCATGACGCTGTGCTCACCCTCACCTCCGGATGTTGGCTGCTACTGGCTCGATCCTGCATCACGAAAATAGATGCAGAGTGTAGTATGAGTACCAAAACAACAGTACCCAGTAGGCATCATAGGGCGACTGAACTTGAAAAGTAAAGGCAATATGAAAAGAAGGAATAACACAAACAGAGGTCAAGAACGAAAGTCTAAAGTAAACAATGGAATGCACACGAGTGTAAGAAAGAACTAACTAAAGT